TATATATATATATATATATTTGATGATATATGAGTTAAATTTTCTCACTAACACAATGTGAAATATTCAATTGTGAAAGATCAAAATTATGGATCCTATGCGTTAAGTTAAAGATCTTCAAATTCTGGCCATTTATTTTTATCATCAAATTGTACGTACGATTTTTAATTTAATTAACTTCTTATTTCTAAATTAAAGAATGATACATTTCTTTAAATATATAACATAAGAAGAAAACATTAAATATCAGGGATTCTTACCACAATGGCAGACTGCAGTCGTTCCTCGTGTTCTTTTAATTGCGTGGAAATTTCGTCGATATTTTTATTTCGGGAATTTTTATGCGCCCGCAATGAATCGATAATTTGTTTCTCTGCATTTTGAAGGATACCGTGTAGATAAGTGAAATGTTGAGTGACCGTTCCCTCCACAATATCGGAATTTTTGCTTCCTATCGAGGAATAGGATATATTTTTCAATTTCTGAAATGCAAAAAAATGAAAATGGACAGTGATTAGTGTCTAAATCGATGTGTGTATCTTTCAAAAATAATTATTAGTAATCTATTCAAGAATCTGATAAGAAATTCGAATTGAATATATACTTTCAAACATTTTCAGAATTCTTTTGTGCGTAATAAAAATTTGTACGTGCAATAAAATAAGAATAAAAAAAAATATAAAGTACCAAGAAAAACCTGAACAAAATAAAATTACATGTTAAAAGAATGAAAGAAAGAGATTGAAATTTAATCAGATGCGAAGAATTCTTTACACGTTCCTCGGAACAAAGGTCATCGTTCCAAGGACCAAAGAATCATTTACTCAAAAGTGGCGAGAACACCTTTCTTTTCTTTCTTTCTTACTGAAAAACTACACCAAACTCTTGCAAAGGAGCTCATTTAAAAAGATGATCGAACTTCCAATAATGATTTTAAGGAAATTTAAGAAAGAAAAAATCACCTTTAAAAGTTTTATCATCGAAAAACGCTGTAAACTTTTCTAATAAATCGACGAACGGCGATAAAAATTTGGAAAAATCCTGATCCTGGAATTAAAATTTAAAAAAAAAGAAGAAAAAGTTTAAAGATGGCGGCATCTATTTGCCATTATATATTTCCAGATTATCGTACATGTCGATACAGGAAATTCTATCGATTCGATCGAATCATGGCGAAGAATTTTAATAAAACATCACAATTCTGTTCAACTCGGATGGTTAAACGAAATAAAAATAGAGAAATCGGTTCACAACGAATGTTCCCCCGCGGAATTATACGCAATCTGGAGGGCTGATGTAATACGTTGATTGATATTCGACCGGCAGTTTGGGTCGCGTGTTAAGAAATCGAAACATCTTTAGCAATGCGTGCCGAGTATAAATAACTCTCGATGAAGAATACCTGGATCTGAGAACACAAATCTTTAAGATTGAAAATGAAGCTGAAATATTTTACAACCGATAATTCCATAATATTTCTGAAACTGATATTTTCTTTCTTTTTTTTGTTTCGTACAAAATTACTCTCCCACCACTTATATAGCTATATATAATCTATCTCATCTCCATACCACCTTGACCCTTCGAACGAACGAACAAAGAAGCAAGAATAATATCGATCATCACCATCAATTCGAGTCATCGTTCGCCTCGAATGATGGATCCAACGCCATCAAAACTGTCCTGTCATCGGTGGAAGGTCGGTCGCTCGCTCGGCTTACTTTCTAGAGGATCCACCGTGAAGGGAGACGACTTATCCGAGCAGAGCAGAGATCGAGAATGGCAGGGAGCGGAGAAGAGAAGAGGTGGTCAATGGTGTTCAACCAAACAAGCCGAACAAACGCGCCTTTCCCCAGTCTTTCACGTCCCGAGGACCGGTTACCATTCCCGATCCGTCGTCGTCGTCGTCGTCGTCGTCGTCGTCGTCGCCGTGGTGTGTGTTTCGTCCCTCTCTCGAGTTGTGGTCACTGTGTTTACACGCCGAGGATGACACTGGTTCCTCCTAGTCGTGCGCTTCGATCCTAGTCTTTGTTAGGATTTGTGTTTGTCGAAGTGTTTTCGGGGGGGGAGGGTGGAAGTGGGACAGAAGGGATCATGCGGGTCCACGACAACCTGCGCTCCTCGCTGGGATACGTCGTGTTCCTTCTGTTGCTCGTCGGTGAGTCCTTTTTTTTTAATGACCATTTTTTTTCCATAGTTTTGGATATCGTTTTATTGTACGAGTGTAGTGTATGATGTGTATGATGCATACATCAATGGAATAATGGAAACGAGTTGTTTGTTGCATGTTGTCTGTCAGGTTTAAATTAATGGTCGTAATTAGTTTGAGCAAAGTGAAATTTTTACGAGAAATTCCAGGATTATTATTCCTTTTTTGTTTTATTAATTATGTAACGAGAGAAGTATAAAAGTTTGAACGAACGCGTAGTATTATATCATGATGCATCTCTGAAGAAGAAGAAGAAGAACAAGAATGAAAAGCGGATACACAATTATTAAGAGGAGTCTTATTAATCACGATTCAGTGATATTTAATAGATGTATAATTGCTCAGATTGAATCGAGAACAAAAATTAAGTTAAATAATTTTTTTCCTTAAATCACTATAATCACGTAATCATGAAAATTCCAACTAAATGAATGAAATTGTAATGGTCGAATAAAAAACGAATATTTTTTTCAAAAAAAAAAAATATTAAAGATAGAAAATGATTCGTTTGTCGAGCGTTATCGAGGTTGAAATTACGTGCGTGGCGAGAGTTGCGCTTCGAGAAAGGAAAGTAGCGCGAAATATTAGTGATGCAAGTCCATTGTCTCCATCGAGTCCTGGCATTCTGATTGCCAGGCTTTTCCTTCACCGTGTAATCAACAACACGATTCAGACGCTATTTCCAGACCAGATACGTAACAAATTCTCACGAACGTTGTAAAAAGTTGATGATGGCTATCACGATAATCCTGATATGGCCATCGTAAAGTTTTCTTATTGTTGGCCAGAGTCGATCAATTATTATCACGATCGCGTTACTCGTTTCTCGGGCGCGTAAACCGCGAAAAATCAATTTATCCTTTCCCCCTTCCCCATCTAACGAAAGAGAAGAGAGACGTTTCTAAAGTGGGTGAACTCTGAGTGCAAACGCGCGAGTTGTGGACGAGTTAGGAAGAAAGCGGCGAGTCGATTGGAAAAATTTTTCCAGCACGAAATATTCTCCTCCTCCTTCTCCGTTTTTCGTATGAAAGGAAATAGCCGAGAGATCGATTCGTAACGCGTCAAAAAGTATTTTAAAAATTTCCACGTTTTCGAAACTCGAAGGATCGAAATTGGGGAAAGTTTCGAATTCGAAGTTCGAGGTAAGTATAAGTTCAAAGTTTCGAAATTATCACGATTCAAAAAAAAATCATATCCACGAATATCCATATTCTCCCAATATCTCTTCCACAATTCCAATCATCCGACGTTAGCTTCATAAAAAAACCTGTTTCGAAAATAAAATATTTCGAAAATTAATTTTTTCCAATTCGATTCACAATTATTCTCCTTCAAAAAAAAAAAAAAAAAAGACACAATTAAAACCAACACACACGAAAAATAATCGAATAATTCAGAGAAATAATCTCCCGATCCTGATGTCATCGTCATCGCTTTCGTTCATCTTCCCTCCCTCTTCAGCAAGCGACAAAAACGCGGAGGAGGAGGAGGAGGAGGAGGGAAAGGAGCGGCGGCAATCTCGTTTGCCCTGCTAAATCAGCCGCAAAGAATCCACTTTAACGTGTTCGCGGTTGTTAATTATACTGCGTAAACAGTCAAAGGGAGTCCTCCGAAGGAGGTGGAAAAGGGGGAGGAAGTCGCGTCGAAACCTTGTCGACGCTACGAAATTAAGTTCATCCTCGTGCGATCCAACCTCCCTCGTCGAGTTTCCGACTCGACTCTTCTCTCCACCTTCTCTCCAACCGATCGATACCTCCTCCTCCTCCTCTCCCTCCTCCTTCTTCGTCTTCCCTCC